GGGTTTGAACCACCAGCCTTCTGGTTAGCAGTCAAGTGTCTTAGGCACTACCCTACCAGAGCGCCTTTGGCGGGGAGCAGCTGGTGGGTTTGAACCGCCAGCCTTGTGCTTGGCAGGTGACTGCCTTAGGACTGAGGCCATCCTCTAGGACCAATCTACTGATTAGTAGGTACAAAACCTTGGCCAAATGATTTCTTTTCATCCTTAAAAGGGGTGTAACAATACTTGCTTTGAGTGTTGTGAGGATCAAATAAAATAGTGGCTATCAAGTATCTAGTGCAGTGCCTGACACAGAGTAGTAGGTCCTTAAGATATATTACTATATTGTTGTTATCTGTGAGGTGTAATGTGTCATACAGACTAAATCTATGAAATTTCTGAGTTAAACGTTTTAGATTTCTGAAATTTGGACTTGGTAATTTAGCCCTCATAAATGTCGCAGTTAAACTGATTAATATTTTCTCTTTCTTGTGCCTTTGACATACTGACCTATCATTAGTATTAGATTTGAAAAATTACTTGATTTTTCACTTAATTTTCATCTTCAGTATTTTTTCCCAACTTCAGGCAAAAAATGGAATCCAGGAAATGGAGTGTTGTTCTCTAGAATCTGACTGGATCTATTTTCATCCTGATGCCTCTGGTAGAATAATACATGTTGGCCCAAATCAGGTCAAGTAAGTATTAACTTTAAAGTTACTTTAAAGTTAAAAGTATCATTCGGTAGCATTTATTGGCCTAGTTTTGTAAGCTAGCTGTTGAGCCAATTATGGATATAATTACCTTGTTGTAGGGTGCTTCCTCTGAGACTGGCATCTGGAAAATCAGACTATTTTCTTTCCACCTTATCACTACTGTTTATATATGTTACATCTGAGTAAATTCCTTGATGGATGATGCAAAAAGGGCAAGGAGGCCACATGTTCTGACCTCCTCTAATCCCACAAAAGCAAGACAGAATCACCATCAATAGCCCAAGGCCTAGTCCTAGAAGGCCAGACATGCTGCCTCCCTCCAGCCCTTTCTCCAACCGTTCCTCCCAGAGCACCCACTACCTCTCTCCTGGGTTTGATAATTCGCTGCAGTGGCCACACAGAACTCACAGATTATGGAGTTTACTAGGGAAGCACCAGGTTACAATTCAAGTTCAGGAAAAACACTCAGTCTCTCTCCCAGCCCACTGTCTCTCCCCCAGGAGTGCATGTCCCTCAGTGTCTTACTGAGCAACGCGTGTCTCTTGCGTCTCTTTCCCAGCAGCACGTGTCTCTTTCAGGAGCGCATGTCTCTTTCAGCAGCATGTCTTCCTCAACCAGCAGTCAGAGAGAGTTCTGCCTCTAGGAGGCCTCCTTTTGAGCTTGGCAGAGTGGCCAAACTAGCCAATCATAGCATCAGAACTCTAAGCACCTGAGAGAGACTGGGAACCTCCCAGAACATTGTTTTGTGCCACTCCCAACAGAAATACTCCAGGTGGATGACTTTAGCGATCAGGATCTCCTCAGTTGCTAATAGCAATTCCCACCTTGGAGTTTACAAAGACCTATGGGTAGAAAAGCCACACTAAGTAATTTACTACACCGCAGATGATACGGATTAAAAGAGATTACAGATTAGCCCTTTCTCACCAGGTCTTAATTAAATTCTCCAGGATTAATGAGAGAAAAAAATAAATTCTTCTTGTTCTGAAAGACAGCCTTTCCACAGAAGTAGCATGTTGTTTGAAGCTTTATTTTGTTTGCTTTCAGAATGCAGAATACCCCTGCCCTCCTCAGCAGCATTAACAATTCACCTCTCTTTCCTTGAGTCACTCTTCATCTGGTTTCCCTGACACCACCTAAAAAAAAAAAAAAAAAAAAAAAACTCACTGCCATCGAGTCAACTTCAACTTATAGTAAACCCCATTGGGTTCCAAGGCTGTAAATCCTTATGGAAACAGACTGTCCCAGCTTTCTTCTGCAGAGCAGCTGGGGGGTTCAAACCATCATTTTGGTTACTAGACAAATGCCTTAACTACTATACCACCAGAGCTCCTTCCCTGATACCACAGCTCTGCTGAATTTTTTTCTTTCTCACTGATGTGTCTTTCTTAGTATTCTTTCACACTCTTCCTTCTCTAGCCAGCCTTCAATTGTTGGATTAAACAATTAATGCAACTTAGGCCCTCTTGATACCTGCCAAGTGCTGGGTCCATTGCACAGAGTGACTAAAGCCAATAAAGACTGAGGTGAGGAGCACAGAATATTGCCTTTATTAAGTTAGTGCAGGAGCTGAGACAGAGAGAGGAATTCCCTCAGATTCTGCCTGCCTTTAGGTGCTTTCCAATTTTCTTTTATAGGGTAAGGATTATATCAGAATCATGTTATACTTAGAATTTCACATGATTATTACAGGTTAAGCAGGGGCAGTAAGGAATAAAAAGATGGTGGTCCTTACCATGTCTCATTGCAATGTTAAATCTCCATCCAGGGGTGTGATTTTTGGTATGTCAGTGTTCCCTTGATGACAGCTAACAACAACAACATTCACTTTAGCTCTCGTGGTAAGGTAATTTGTTATAATTTGTTATGGTTAAGGCATTAGGCTGCTAAGCAAAAGGTCGGAGGTTTGAACCCACTAGCTGCTCCACAAGAGAAAGATGAGGCAGTCTGCTTCTGTAAAGATTTATAGCCTTGGAAACCCTATGGGGCAATTCTACTCTGTCCTGTAGGGTTGCTGTGAGTCATAATCGACTCAATGACAGTGGGTTTGCTTTTTTTGGAATGTTTCCTTTCACTCAGATTCAAGCTGCCCTTGAGTTTTTATGGATCAGCAAACCCCTTGACTAGTTATTTCTCAAAAGCTACATTTTCTCTTATCCCACTGGAAGAAACATTACAGAAAACCTCTAATGAATACCATACATTCTTTTAAGGAAATACTGTGCATCATTATGCTCATTCTACATCCCTTCTGCCTGATTGTATTTATTCCCTTGGCTTCTAAGATTGCCTATACACCAAAACTCCAAAATTTACTTCTCTAACCCAAACCTCTCATGTAAACTCACACGAAAAGTATGGGATCACCCTTGACACCTTCTTAACTTCTGGTCTTTCATCAATATATGTGCACTTATATACTCACATATATTCTCTTTCTCACACACATATACACCATAAATCCTGTCAGTCCAGTTCATTTTGCTACTAAATATTTCTTGGTGTTAGGTACTGTCAAGTCGGTTTTGATCCATAGTGACTACTACAACAGAACAAAACACTGCCCGGTCCTGTGCCATCCTCACAATCAGTTATGCTTGTGCTGTTATTGCAGCCACTGTGTTGGTCCATCTCACTGAGGGTTTTCCTTCTTTTAACCGACCATCTGTTTTACCAAGCATGATGTCCTCCTCCAGGGACTGGTCCCTCCTGATAACCTGTCCAGAGTAGAAGAGGTGAAGTCTAAGGAGCATTCCAGTTGTACTTCCTACAGTACAGATTTGTTCATTCCTCTAGCAATCCATGGCACATTCAGTAATTTTCACCAGTACCACAGTTCAAATGCATCATTTCTTCTGAGGTCTTCCTTATTCTTTGTCCAGCTTTCACATGCAAGTGAGGCTATTGAAAATACCATGGGTCTGGTCATGTGAACCTTAGTCTCCAAAGTGACATTTTTGCTTTTTAACACTTTAAAGAGATCTTTTGCAGCAGGTTTGCCCAAAGCAATATGTTGTTTCATTTCTCGACTGCTGCTTCCATGGGCATTGATTATGGATCCAAGTAAAATGAAATCCTTGACATCTTCAGTCTTTTCTCCATTTATCATGATGTTTTTATGGGTTTAACTGTGAAGATTTTTGTTTTCTTTCTGTTGAGGTGTAATCCATACTGAGGGCTGTAGTCTTTGATCTTCATCAGTAAATGCTTCAAGTCTCCTTCACTTGCAGCAAGCAAGGTTACAGGTCATTAATGAGTCTTCCTCCTCTCCTGATGCCATGTTCTTCTTCATACAGGCCAGCTTCTCAGATTATGTGTTCAGCATACACATTCAGTAAGTATAGTGAAAGGATACAGCCCTGACACACACCTTTCTTGATTTTAAATCATATAGTATCCCTTTGTTCTATTCAAATGACTACATCAGTCTATGTAAAGGTTCCGGAATTCCCATTCTTCACAATGTTACCCATAATTTGTTATGATTCATACAGTCGGTGCCTTTGCATGGTTGATAATACACAGATAGACATCCTTCTGGGATTCTTTGCTTTCAGCCAAGATCCATCTGACATCAGCAATGATATTCCCCCCTCATTCCATACCTTCTTCTGAATCCGGCCTGAATTTCTGACAGTTTCCTATCAATATACTGCTTTAGCCATTTTTTAATTACCTGCAGCAAAATTTTACTTGCATGTGATATTAATGATACCATTCAATATTTTCTGCTTTCTGCTGGATCACCTTTTTTGGTATGGCACAAATACGAATCTCTTCCAGTTAGTTGGCCAGCTACCTGTTTTCAGAATTTCTTGGCATAACCAAGTGAGCGCTTCCAGTGTTGCATCTATTTGTTAAAACATCTCAATGGGTATTCTGTCAATTACTGGAGCCTTTTTATTTGCCAGTGCCTTCAGCGCATCTTGGACTTTTTCCTTCAGTAGCATTGATTCTTGATCAGACACTGCTTCCTACAATGGTTGAACATAGACCAGTTCTTTTTGATACAGTGACACTGTGTATTCCTTCCATCTTCTTTTGATACTTCCTGCATCATTTAATATTTGCCAATAGAATCCTTCAGTATCACAACTTGAAAGCTTGAATTTTTTTCTTTAATTCTTTTGGCTTGAGAACTGCCAATTGTGTTTTTCCCTTTTGATTTTCTAGTGCCAGGTTTTTGAACAATTTATTATGATACTTTACTTTTGCTTCTTAACCTGCCCTTTGAAATTTTCTATTCAGATCTTTTACTTTATCATTTCTTCCATCCACTTTACCTACTCTCCATTCAAGAACATGTTTCAGTTTCTTTTGGTCTTCTCTTTCTTGCTTGCTTTTTTAATGACCTTATGCTTTATTTATATTTGAAGATGTTCAGGTCATTCCACAGCTTGTCTGGTCTTTGGTCATAGGTGTCCAATGCATTAAATCTATTCTTTAGGTGGTCTCTAAATTCAGGTGGTATATATACAAGGTTGTATTTTAACTCTTGTGGACGTTATCTAATTTTCTTCTGCTTCAACTTAAACTTGCACATGAGCATTTGATGGTCTGTTATACAGTCAGCCCCTGGCCTTGTTCTGATTGATGATACTGAGCTTTTCCATCATTACCTCCCACAGATGTAGTTGATTTTATTCCTGTGTATTCCATTTAGTGAGTTCCACATGTATAGTCACCATTTATGTTGTTAAAAAAAAGTATTTGCAATGAATAAGTTTCTGGTCTTGAAAAATTCTGTCGTGTGATATGTGGCATTGTTTCTATCACCAAAGACATATTTTCCAGCTACCAAAGCTGCTTTTACATTCCAGTCACTAGTAATTATCAATGCATCTTGATTGTGTATTTGGTAAATTTCAGACTGCAGAAGATAGTTAAAATCTTCAATTTCTTCCTCTTTGATTCACCAGTACCACAATTCAAATGCATCATTTCTTCTGTGGTTTTCCTTATTCATTGTCCAGCTGTCACATGCAAATGAGACTATTGAAAATACCATGGGTCTGGTCATGTGAACCTTAGTCTTCAAAGTGACATCTTTGCTTTTTAACACTTTAAAGAGATGATGATGATGACCATTCCTCTTCAGTTTTTCATTCCAGAGCTTTGGTGGCGTAATGTCTAAGGCATTTGACTACTATCCAGAAAGCTGGCAGTTCAAACCCACCAGCAACTCCTTGGAAGGAAGACTGGGCAGTCTACTTCTGTAGAGATACTGCCTCAGAAACCTAAAGCAGGGTCACTGTGAGTGGGGACCAACTCGATGGCAATGAGTTTGGTTGTTGCTTTTTTTTTTTTTTTGCATAGTAGACCATATGATTGTACAATCCTAAATGGCCAAATTCCAATCCATTTCAGCTCACTAATGCCTAGAATATTGATGTTTATGCATTCCATTGACAACTTCCAATATTCCTAGAGTCATACTTCATGTATCCCACATTCCAGTTATTAATGGATATTACAGCTGTTTCATCTCATTTTGAGTCATGCCACATCAACAAATGAAGGTCACAAAAGCTTTTCCCCATCCCTGTTGTCAGCTGTAAGTGTGGTAGCCCATGCGGCCCTCAGCAAATGGAGCCGATCGGCAGGTTGCTGCCTGGACAGGAGTGCCACTTAGCTGTTCCAAATGGCCACAGTGTCAGGCAGTCAGAGGTCCACAGCTCCGTGTGTCTCCTTATTCACTGTTTTTGTTCATTTTCTTCTACTAGTTGGTATTTAATACAGTTCTTTATCCTTCCCTTAAAAGCTCAGGGTTCCAGGATTGTCTTCTGTACCTGATTCAATTAGTTTCTTGTTTCTTTGTTGTAGAGGGTCTGTGTAGCTTGTCTCCCTATTCTTGTCAGAAATCTTCAGTGGCTAATTTTTTCACAAGTGGACCACCTCCTCTTTCTTCCTAGTCTGTCTTAGTTTGGAAGTTCCACTAAAACCTGTGACCCTGCTGGTATTTCAAATACTGGTGGGATAGCTTCTCGCATCACAGCAACACACAAACCATCACAGTACAACAATGTCTGCCCTTGTCAACTGTCACCATCTTGGTCAAGCTACTGTCATCACTAGCCTTGACTACAATAATTTCCTATATACAAGGCTCCTAGAATCCAGTCTTGCCCTTTCTAAGTCTTTTTTCCTCTCAGCAGCCAGAGTGATGTTGAAAAACATAAATATAAAAACCTATACAAGCAACTCTACTACGTTAAGGAACCTTTTCATGGGTTCATGTTTCTCTTAAAATAAAGACAAATATCTTTAGCATATGGTCTGAAAGACCCTCCTGCCACTCAACTTACTCTAGTCATGCTGTCTTTTCAGAAAGCTAAGGACCTATTCCTTCTATTGGAGGTCTCCCCCACCTGTTCCCTTCCTCATTTCTATTCAAGTTTTATGCCCCAGCTTAAATGACTTTTTTTTTTCATGTAGACTTTCCCTGATTACTGTTGTTAGATTTAGCGCCTCGGTCCTATTATCATTGCCCCACTGTGCATTCTTCTGTAGCACTTATCACAATTTTAATTAATTGGTTGTTTGTGTGAGTATCTGTTTAAATATCTAGCTTTGCATCATAAGCTCCATAAAGATAGGGAAAGAGTCTGTCTTGCTGACACGTGTAACACCAGCACTGAGTGAGCACAATGCTTGGCACAGAGTGGGTGCTCAGTAAGTATTTGTGGGACAAGAAGAGGAGGCTTTGCCTTCTTTATTCCTTAAAGCCTTAGGATAGTCTGTCTCCCTGTATCTATTAAAAGGAGGGTAAAAGGATGTAATGAGATAAGGTTATGACCGTTTACAAAAAACTTTGAAGTATAGTTTCACCTTAGTAAACCTTACTTTTAACATTTGTTACTACCTGTATTTATACCAGCTTGAGTTTAAGAAAATAAGATCTGCAAAGAATGGATTCAGTGTACTCTTTTGCCAGGTCTCAAAAGATAGATATGTTTCAACATTGACACTAATTAAGATAACTATTAGAGTTTTCTAAAACATAATCTGATTTCTTTGTTTCTGGTAACTCTAAGGCCTCTAGCTTTCCCTGGCCACAGTGGCTACTTCACCCTCGCTATTTCCTCTGGCTGCATTTGAGATTCTGAGCTTTGACAACATTGTACTTTTGAAGCTTGTTACTGATGTGAACAGATTTGTGTGGGTGATGAACAGGTTATTTTATTTTCTCCTGCTTAGTAATCTTGATCCTATGAGTCTGTGTACACTCAGAAACCTAAATCTTTAAATATAATCCTAAGGGGGGGAGGGAAAAAAAAAATATATATATATATATAATCAGTTGATGTTTAAATATTACTCTATCATGAAAACTCTTGGTTTTGATTTAATTGCTGATCCAAATCTGTCTTCTGCTGAACTTGAAATGTTGTTCATAGATACAGCGTTTTATCTTCAGAAATAAAAATGCACTTATAGACTGTAATGCCATTGTTAAAGCAGAAACAGGAAAGGCATGTTGCAGAACAACAAAAATAAGGTTCTTCAGAGTAACATTTCTTAAACCCATTTGGACGATGGCATAGGCCTGAGCAAGCTGCTTCATTATCTATTTTAGTAGCACCTTTTGTCACAGTTTCTACATTTTTCTGTTTGAAAAACAAAATCTCTGAATTTGAAGGAATTTATGGATGTTTAAGTGATCAGACAAATTAACATTACATACTAATCAGGAGGGAAAAAGAGCTAAGTGTTAATATAATTTTTATTGGCTGACTTTGGCACTTGATGGTACACACTAAGTCTTAGGTTCTTAAAATTCTTTTTCCCTTTTTAGAGTTTTAAAGCTAAGTGAAATAGAAAATAATAATTTCCAACATCAGATCTCTGAAGATTTTGTCATTTTGGCCAACAGGGAGAAGAACAAAGTAAGGCAGACTTTAAAATCCTTTGTATATTATTATCTTTTTATATGAAAATATAAATACTACTGCATTTGAGTGTCTACTTGGGTAACCAGTCTCATATCATGTACATATGAGATTTGAAAAGAGTTAGTTATATTGAGTTTATCTTTTGCTTATTTTTATTTGGTCTTTTTTTTTTTTTTTTTTTGGATGAATTATCAACTTTTGGGTCTAGTTAATTGTTTGAAGTTAGGGTGAGGTGGGTCATATTGAAATCTTTATCACACACTATGCTTTGACTCTAGACTGTACTTTTCCTTTAATGTACAAATTAACATGAAGAAAATGATAGGGACAGAAATTTCTAAAAGCAGATCTACTTTTGACTTCTTGCAATGTTGTACTAGGGCAAAAGTCAGGGTGAGTGAAATAACAAACCTCTAACTTTTTTTTTTTTTGGCCTATTCTGGCATTTTAACCATTAAAAACTTTAATAAAGCATTTTTACTGACTTGGAGAATCAGTAATCTGATTCAGAATTTTCTCAGTTGAGGAAAGAATTGTGGGTTTGAAGATGAGTTTGGTAGTTTTAACAAATTTGTTAATGCAGTTTTGCCATTGATGTTATATAATTAAAACTTGTCATATCTTTTTCTCTACATGATAGAATGAAAATTTAATCACTGTTACAGCTTCTGGACGCATAGTAAAAAAACATTTTAACCTTCTGGATGATGACCCAGAACAAGAGGTATTACTTTAACCAGAGATAACAAACAGAACCAGTGTATACTTGCACTGTGGATTTTTCAAAGTACTCTTCCCAGAGTTCGGGGTAGGGTTTGAGGTGGACAGTTATGTGCAGGCTGACTGGGTAAGATTCTCTATGATATTTCATTTAATGTAACCCCACCATCCTTTCTTTTCATATGGAAGTTATTCCTAAAATTTTCTTTGTAGAAAGGTTTGTAGGAGTGAAATTATTTGAAAATAGCATATTGGTTTAATATGTATACTTTCTAAAATATCTTAGTAGAAAATTTTTGAGTTATATCCTGATGACTTCATAGCTTTTGCCTTATTTTTTGGTTATGTTTGTGAATGTTCATGGGCTGGGAGAGGAAGGAGTGAACAGGGTGTGTTAAAATAATTTGGCCTGTGGCCTGAACTTGGCATTGTCAGTCACTGAGCTAATACTTTTTTTTAACCCTTTTCCTTTAGAGAGGCATGGGAAGTACTTACTAAATCAACTTACAATGCTCATGCTTCAATAAATGACCATTGCAAATTCTAAATCTGTTTAGATTATATAACTGTATATTGTTTGTATTAATAAGGCCATTCTTATGTAGAAATATTAGTGTAGCCTTCTAAGAATCGTTGATTTGTGTAGTATCTTTTTTGTAAAACTTTTAAAATAGGTCAGAAGTGGCCTAGTATGTGGCTGCTATAAAAAATAAAAACAATATTTATTCTTTTGGGCCATAGAAACCTATTGAGAACAAAGCAGAAAACTTCCTGTTTTTTATATAAAACTGATTCAAATAAAGCATACTAAAATTACCAAAGGCAGCAAGAACAATTAAGAGTGAATGGGTGGTAGTGAAGAGATGTACTATATCAAGAAATTAGAAAACAAAAACTTTTTGTGGCTTAGATCTGTTAAATCTACATTCAAGTAAGATCACCTTTGAAATTGGCCAAAACCAAACTCACTGCCACTGAGTTGATTCTGACTCATAGTGACCCCCATTGAGTTTACAAGGCTGTAAATCTTCACGGAAGCAGATTGCCCCATCTTTCTTCCGCGGAGCAGCTGGTGGATTCGAACCACTGACCTTATGGTTAGCAGCTGAATGCCTTAACCACTGTACCACCAAAGCTCCTTTTAAAGTTGGCCAGGGTAAGATTAATGCAAAAAAGTAAATAAAAAGGAACCACAGGTAATTAAATCCATGTAATTTTTTATGCTGTGAGATGCTAAAGGCAGAAAATATAAATGGATTAAAAAGTGATTTGGCCAAATGTAAGTGACCAGTTAGTATGTGGTGATTAAGAGAAGCTTGCTGAGCCTGCCTTTAAGGTTGGTGCCAGGCAGTCAGCCAAGATGTGCCTTCCTGTGGCCCATCCCCATGGCTCAGCACTGATCTGATCCCTCTGTGAGGCTAATGGGGTCCCAGACAGATTTGGGGGTTACATTTTCTCTCTAAAGTCATTAGCACTTCTAACTAACCTCTTTTGTTGCAGTCTTGTTCCATGGGTTGAATTTCAGTTCCTAATATTCTCCCTGGGAGCTCTGGTAGCGTAGTGCCTAAGGCACTTGACTGCTAACCAAAAGGCTGGTGGTTCAAACCCACCAGCCACTCCTTGGAAAGAAGATGGGGCAATCTACTTCTGTAGTGATACTGCCTCGGAAACCCAAGGAGGGGTCACTATGAATCGGGTCCTACTCGATGGCACATAACAACAACAACAACAACAATATTCTCCCTAAGTATAAGCAGCCGTTTTTGCTCTTTTTAGGTAACCAAAAAGGTATTTTAAAAGAATAGCAAGCAGAGTCATAAAAGAATGTGATGGCTGTCAGTCTTTTTTGAAATTACTATGCTGTTTTGTGTGAGAACCTTCAGAGCTCTTTGGCAGTCCTTAGATACCAAAACTGAGCTTCATCTATTTAGTCTTCTCTGGGAATCAATCAGTAAATACACATGTCAGAGGTCATAGTGGAATACCTCTTTTGATTTTGGAAAAGCTCTGGTTTGCTGTCATTGTAGAGAATTTTGTTTATACTTTGAGATCTTTGTAAATAGATTTGGTTCTGTTTGTGAAAACTTCTATAGGATACTGCTTAACCCTTGAAAATCTTGAGGCTGATCTTTTACTGGCCATATAAGTAGAGATAATATTTTTATCTTTTCTCCTTCCTATTCATTCTTCCTTCTACCATATTGTGTAACTAATAGAATACTTAAACTACAAATTTAGGAATAATCCTAACTGAGTAACTGGATTTTCTCCCTTTTTTCCTTTGATTTATCTACCTATCCCCTGAGACTTTCAAAATTGTGGACTATGAAGATGAGTTGGATTTGCTCTCTGTGGTAGCTGTTACTCAACTCGATGCTGAAGGAAAAGCTCACCTGGATTTTCACTGTAATGAATATGGAACTTTACTTAAAAGCATTCCATTAGTGGAGTCATGGGATGTGGTAAGTAGCATCCAAAATTACAAGAGTTTTCTTTATAGGTTACATATGTTGCAGGTGTCACTGTGTTCATGTCAGCCCAGACTTACCTGTACCAGTGACCACATGAAAGAGTTTCTATTCTATTAAGAAAAAATCAAACTCACTGCCATCAAGTAGATTCCGACTCATAGCAACTCCCATTGGGTTTCCGAGGCGGTAAAACTTTACAGAAGTAGATTGCCCATTCTTGCTTCCATAGAGTGGCTGGTAGGCTTGAACCAGCAACCTTCTGGTTAGCAGTCAGGTATCTTCGTCATTGTCCTACCAGAGCTGCGTCTTATTAATGTTCTGTTGTTGTTGTTGTTAGGTGCCATCGAGTCATCTTTGATTCATAGCAACTCATGTACAGCAGAATAAAACACTGCCCAGTCCTGTGCCATCCTCATGATCCTTGCTATACCTGAGCCCATCGTTGCAGCCACAGTGTCAATCCATCTTGTTGAGAGCCTTCCCCTTTTTCATTGACCCTCCACTTTACCAAGCATAACATCCTTCTCCAGGGAATGGTTCCTTCTGACAACAATGACCAAAGTAGGTGAGACAAAATTTCTTGCTTCCAAAGGAGCATTCTGGCTGTACTTCTTCCAAAACAAATTTGTTAGTTCTTTTAGCAGCCCATGGTACTCTCAGCATTCTGTGCCAACACCACAACTCAAAAGCATTAACTCTTCTTCAGTATTCCTTATTCATTGCCCAGCTCTCACGTGCATAAGAGGCGACTGAAAATACCATGGCTTGGGTCAGGGACACCTTAGTCTTCAAGGAGACATCTTTGCTCTTTATCACTTGCAAGAGATCTTTTGCAGCAGATTTACCCAATGCAATGCATCGTCTGATATCTTGACTGCTGCTTTCATGGTGTTGATTGTAGAACCAAGTAATATGAAGTCTTTGACAACTTCAGTCTTTACTCCATTTATTATGATGCTGCTTATTGATACAGTTGTGACGATTTTTGTTTTCTTTATATTGAGATGTAATCAATCCTGCAGACTGTAGTCTTCAGTCTTCATCAGTAAGTGCTTCAAGTCATCCTCACTTTCAGCAAGCAAAGTTGTGTCATCTGTGTATCGCAGGTTGTTGATGAGTCTTCCTCTAATACTGATGCCACGTTCTTCTTCGTATAATCCAGCTTCTTGGATTATTTGCTCAGCATACAGATTGAATACAGATTGAATAAGTATGATGAAAGGATATAATCCTGACACACTCCCTCCTTGATTTTAAACCATGCAGTATCCCCTAGTTCTTTTCGAACAACAGCCTCCTGATCTATGTCCAGGTTCCTCATGAGTAACGTTAAGTATTCTGGAATTCCCATTCTTCTTAATGTTATCCATAATTTATTACGATCCACACAATTGAATGCTTTTGCATAGTCAATAAAACATAAGCATACATCTTCCTGGTATTTTTTGCTTTCACCCAAGATCCATCTGACATCAGCAATGATATCCCTCATTCCACATCCTTTTCTGGATCCAGCTTGCATTTCTGGAAATTCTCTGTCAGTATACTGCTATAACTGTTTTTGAATTATCTTCAGTAAGATTTTACTTACATGTGATATTAATGATATTGTTTGATAATTTCCACATTCTGTGGGGTCACCTTTCTTTGGAATGGGTACAAATATGGATCTCTTGTAGTCAGTGGGCCAGGTAGCAGTCTTCTAAATCTCTTAGCATAGCTGAGTTAGTGCCTCAAGTGTAACATCCATTTGTTGAAGCATCTAAATGGGTATTCCATCAATTCCTGGAGCCTTGTTCTTCACCAGTTCCTTCAATGCAGCCTCGACTTCTTCCTTCATTACCATTAGTTCTTGATTATATGCCACCTCCTGAAATGGATGAACATCGACCAGTTCTTTTTGGTACAGTGACTCTGTGTATTCCTTCCATCTTCTTTTGATGTCTCCTGCATCATTCAGTATTTTGCCCATGTTGTTAGGTGCCAGTGCATCATCTCTGACTCATAGCGACCCTATGCACAGCAGAACGAAACACTGCCCAGTCCCATACCAGCTCCAGAATTTTTGCTATACTTAAGCCCATCGCCACAGCGATGTGTCAGTGATGTGTCAATCCATCTCATTGAGGGCCTTCCCCTCTTTTGTCGACCCTCCACCTTACCAAGCATGACATCCTTGCCTATAGAATCTTTCAATATTGCAACTCGAGTGTTATATTTCTTCTTCAGTTCTTTCAGCTTGAGAAATGCTGAGCATGTTCTTCCCTTTGGTTTTCTAACTTCGGGTCTTTGCACACATTTCATTATAATAATTGGCTTTGTCTATTCACACTCCTCTTCTAAATCTTCTGTTCAGATCTTTTATCTTGTCATTTCTTCCCTTTGCTTTAGCTACTCTCCATTCAAGGGCAAGTTTCAGAGTCTCTTCTGACGTCCATTTTGGTCTTTTCTTCCTTTCCTATCTTTTTAATGACCTCTTGCTTTCTTTATGGATGATGTTCTTGATGTCATCCCACAATTCCTCTGGTTTTTGGTCACGGGTGTTCAGTGCATCAAATCTGTTCTTTATATGGTCTCTAAATTCAGGAGGGATATAATCAAGGTCATATTTTGCCTCTCCTAGACTTATTTTAATTGTCTTCAACTTCAGCTTTAACGTGCATACGAGCAGTTGATGGTCTGTTCCACAGTCAGCTCCTGGCTGATTATTATTCTAGAAGCAGGACAAAATGAATATTGTTTAAGCCTTGCTGTCCCAGGGGATGCCTCCTTACCAGTGTGACCTTAAAGAAAAGTAGGACTTTGTTTTTTTTCCTGAGTCATGGCTGTGTTTTTCCTTACCATAGTTCTAATTTTCTTCCATTTAAAAAAGTTTGGTAGCATTTTTAAAAGTAAAATGGTACATTTTCATGAATCCCCACAATCATTTAGTAGGCACCATATCTAAGCATATAGGATTCTTGGGCACTCTTGGAATCTTTGCTGTTCTGAGTACCATTGGTGGGCTCAAACTGCTGACCTTTCAGTTTAGCAGCCAAGCTCTTAACCACTGTGGCACCAGGGCTACTTGAGTATTATACAATATAAAAGTTACAAGGAACAGTAGATAATATTTTATCAAATCCTTGTTTTATCAGTGGAGAACCTGAGAGGTTTAGCAACTCACTCATGGTCTCACAATGAGATAGTAGTAGTTTTGGCCATCAATCCTAGGTTTAGACTTCTGAATCTAGGGCAGTTTTCATCCTCTATATTTTCTGTAATACCTTTCTCATAAATAATCTGCCTGTCCACAAATAGGGAGCTCTGGTGGCAGAGTGCCTAAGGCATTTGACTGTTAACCAGAAGGCTGGCAGTTCAAACCCACCAGCCACTCCTTGAAAGGAAGACTGGGCAGTCTACTTCCATAGACATACTGCCTCGGAAACCCAAGGAGGGGTCGCTATGAGTTGGAATCAACTTGACAGCAATGAGTTTGGTTTTTAAAAAAACCATTTTTTCTGGCAATGATTTTGCCTCTTAAGTGTATACCTGCATTCCATTGAAGATCCCTAGCATAGGTGCTGTTGACATTTTAGTGACAGTTGTGTATATAGTTATGTAAACTATATTTAACTTTTTTTAATTATTATTACAGACATATAGCCATGAAGTCTACTTTGACAGAGACTTGGTACTCCACATAGAACAGAAACCCAACAGGATCTTCAGCTGCTATGTTTACCAGATGGTATGTGACACTGGGGAAGAAGAAGAAACTGTAGACACAGATAGAAGTTGTTAAAAATCAGATATAATTTTAAATGTTGAGATATAATTTATGAAACTGTTAGTGAAACTCCCCAGCAACTAAGATCCAGTCTTTCCTTTTTATTACCTTTCTGACAAGTTTTCCAGTATTTTCCAGAAGTCTTATGTTGACGTCAGATGACTCTGGCTTCTTTTCTAAACTCTTGCTTTGGAAAGTGGTGATGACTTCATTTCATGTAAAAGTTTTTTCAAATGATGTCCCAAGAAGTTTAGCATTTTGGGGCTTTTAGCTAGGTAGTAATACAAATATAAATTGTTGAGTACTGGTTAATTCTAATTATTGGGGAGACAGTCATTGATGGAGAAGTATTTACGATGATTCTTAAAGGATAGCATGGGATTTTGACGGATAAGACTGATAAGGGGAGACAAAAATAAAGATAAAAAGCATATAAAAAGAAACCTGTATCCTCTGGAAGATGGGGCAATCTACTTCTGTAGTGATACTGTCTCGGAAACCCAAGGAGGGGTCACTATGAGTCGGGTCTGACTCGACGGCACATAACAACAACAACAACATACTAAGCTTTGCTTAAGGATGAAAAATGAGATCTGTAATGTGAAAGCATATACCTTTGAGCCAAAAATGTGTCGTCATGGTTTGTTTTTTAATGTTACAGATGTGTATGTCGTAGTGTCTTAGTGCTGCTATAACAGATACCGCAAGTGGATGGCTTTAATGAACAGAAATTTATTTTCTCACAATTTAAGAGGCTACACATCCAAATTCAGGCAACTGGCCCAGTGGGAAAGGTTTCTCTGTGTGCTTTGGGGGAATGTCCTTGTCTCTTTCCAGCTTCTGTTCCTCAGTTCTTGGAGATCTTCATGTGGTGTGTATTTCCTTCTCTGGGCCTAATCTGCTCTTTTTATAGCAGAAGTGATTGGCTTAAGACACACTCTACACTGATATGGTCTCATTCATACAACAAAGAAAATCATATTCCCAAATGGGATTACATTCTCAGGTATAGGGGTTTAGATTTATAACAAATACTTGGGGGGATGAGGGCAGACACAAGTCAGTCTATAATAGTATATATGTTTTATATTTGTATATAATATTAGGAATTGGCTCTAGTTCCCAAATTATCTTTTCTTAACTTGATGCTCTCATTGAATATTTGTCTATTATAGACTAATGTAAAAGATTTCAAGCAAACCTTGAGTAAAAATTCTTTCTGATGATGTAGCCTATTTAGCACTTAATACTTTTAAGAGTGCTAGTCTCATTTCATCAATATGTTTATTTGGTGAGCCTTCCTGTTTTGTTTAGGCAGCATTTTCATACCTCTGCAGTAAGATAAAAGTACCCTGGCCTAAGTACATTCTACTCCCTGTAAAAGAACAGATAAAATCCCACAAGTTCTTCCTAGCTTGGAAATGGTCTGATTAGCTACAGAAAGTTTTTAGCCATCTTAGTTGTGAAACTGGGGTGTTTTCTTTGCTAGAATAGATCTAAATATGATCCTTGAACTCAGAAAATCATTCTTCAGAATGTTAAATAAAGGCAACCTAGTAAGTAAAGGGAGAAAATGTTTCTTTGTGCTTCCTCTTTGAGAAATGCTGTTGTTTCCCATCCATATGTTCAGCACATTTCTCTGATTCACCCTCAAGGGAATAACTGATAAAAATAGAAAAAGCAATAAGAATCATTTTGATTCAGTTACACGCACACCTACATTCATCACAGCACTATTCACAATAGCAAAGAGATGGAAACAACCTAAGTGCCCATCAACAGAGGAATGTATAACCAAACTATGGTACATACATGCAATGGAATACTATGCAACACTAAAGAATAGTGTAGAATCTGTGAAACACCCCCTGACATGGATGAACTTGGAGGATGTTACGCTGAGTGAAATAAGTCAATCACAAAAGGACAAATATTGTATTAGTCCACTATTGTAAAAAGTCAAGGAAAGGTTTACATACGGAAGGAAACTTTCTTTTTTGGGTAACAGGGATGGGAGGGTAGGGAAGGGAAAATTGCTAGATAAATAAGAGACAAGTAATGATTTGGGTGAAGGGAAAGGCATTATACCAAAAGTGAGTGACCAACACAGTAACACCAAGGAAAAGAAAGACACAGAGAGATGCACAAGAGGTACAGACAACAAAGATAGACTTTTACATGCGCAATCCTGCATCATCAATAAAAACAAACATTAATCTATGGGTAGATACATAGGTAAACACGATGAATGATCAGGTGTGTCTAGGCAAAAGGGACTATACCCATGACCATGTATAAGTTTGGCAGATGATATTTCTATATATATTTTTTTTTATGTGCTCTAAGAATGTCCATATAAATAGAACTAACTGGGGGTATAGTTAGGATAACGTCTTAGCCACAGCCAGCTACCCTGAGGGAGTAAGTTGTTGGGCTTGTGGGCTTGGGACCATAGTCGCAGGGGACATCAAGCTCAATTGGCATAACATAGTACACAGAAACATTATTGTACATCCTACTTTGGTGAGTAGTGACTGGGGTCTTAAAAGCTCACAAGTGGTCATCTAAGATGCAACAATTGGTCTCTCTTTGTCTGGAACAAAGAAGAATGAAGAAAACCAATGATGCATGGAAACAATTGTCCAAGGGACTAGTGGACCATGCGAACCTCAACCTACATGACACTGAGACCAGAAGAACTAGATGATACCTGGCTACCACTGTCAAAAAAGGGATCAATGCAGGAGATTCCTTGAGTGCTTTCTTTGCTAGAATAGATAGAGTGGCAGAAGGATGTGGAACAAAACTCAAAATCATAAAAAAAAAAAAAAAAGGCCTTGCTTACTGGTCTGATAGAGACTGATGAAACCCCCAAGACTATGGCCCCTGGAATTGAACTCACACCCATGTCTTCCAGCCAAACAAGAGATAGGCATATAAGGAGAACATTTACACTAGGTAGGTGCATTCCTTAGAACAATCAACCATGGGAGATCAGAAGGGTAGTATTTGCATAAGAAAATAGCTCAGGGCAGGAATGCATAGGAAAGAAGGACATAGGGAAAAGAGAGGAAGTGGAAAAAGAGCTGTTACATTATTGGGATTGTAATCAATGTCATGAAATGTGTATGAACTGCTATATGGAAAATGAAGTTGCTCTGTAAACTTTTACCCAAATCACAATTAAAAAAAAAGATTAAAAAAAATTATTTTGATTCAATTCTAAGGTTAAAATATTGGAATACAGTATTTTGAAATCTGGATAATTTATACTAAAATCTTTGTTTTTCCTCCAGTTTTGGCTTGACCCCATGTTAACAGTAATATGACTTCGGACCAGTTCTGCCCTTGAAAATTTGTAGAGTTCAAGCTAAGGAGAGAGGTGTTAGCTATTCCAAAAGGAAGGAATTAGTAGCAGGGTCTATACATTTAAAATAAATAATAGGGAACAAACCAAAAACTGTCTTTTGCACAATAGAAAAGAAAGATTACTAACATTTTAGAACAAAGGAAAATATACGTGGGCTGAAAATTAATCTTTCTGAATCTGATCCTATGTATGGTAACCATCTAGGAAAGTAGAAGTGATTACCTTGTAAGCAAGATGGTAAAACTATCTTCATATATTGAATGCTACTTTATATCTACTAATTGACAGATTCTGTCTTATTTTATGCATATGTAATAGTACTGTTTAATATAATGTCTGAAGATTTCAGGGCATTTTAGAGGCATGATTATGATTACAAAGTGTAAGTAGTTACAGAGTACTAGGTAAGGCCCACAGACCCTGCCTTAATGAATTTATATCTTGGTAGGGGAAAGCCCAGTTAGGAGGGAATAGAGTGAAAATACCAGAGAAAAGAAACCAGTGCTGTGTGTGTTTTAAAATCAAGTGAAAACCTGACTGCCATCAAGTTGATTCTGACTCACAAGAGACCCTGTAGGACAGAGTAGAACTGCCGCAAAGGGTTTCCAAGGCTATAAATCTTATGGAAGCAGACTGCCTCATTTACCTTTGATTGAGTGGCTGGTGGGTTTGAGCCACTGACTTTTTGGTTAGCAGCCAAATGCTTTAACCACTGTGCCACCAGAGCTCCTAAAGCAAGTGCAGTGCTATATATAAAAGCAGAATACTTTCCTTTTCCAGGAGTGTTTCAGAAAAGGATGTCCTTAGACTTTAATCCTGTCCAAGGTTTTTAAAAAAGATATTTATTGAGTTTCCCCACTCTTTGAAGTCTTTGCCTTCTTTTTGATGAAATGATGAAAAGGAACTCATTTCAGAAAAGCATTTGAGAAATATTTGAGATTTTCTGGCTGCTTTTTTGATTGGAAGAGGAAGAGGAATATTTCTAGTCTAGATAAGAATTGACCACTAAGAAACTCCCAGTGTGTCACCACTGCTAATGTCTAACTAGACCTTGATCCAAATGCCATATGGGCTAGACCAGAATTATGCCTACTGTAAGACAGTCGGGAGTTGTGGGCAATGTAGCAAACAGGAGAAGCATGTCCCCACTGAAGGGACAAGCTGCTACTACCCAGTTTCAGCCAGTTGTAACATTATGTAGGAATGCCACTCTGTGATTGTTAAACAGGATTGTTGACATAAAGATGCCAAAAGACACTAAAGATAGCAAAAAGTACGGGCAATTTCTAGATACCACACAAGGCAGGAGACAAAACAACATTCTTCCCAATAGGTATAGGCTTCCCAGATCCCTATGGTGGCTTAAAGCTGCTCCTTCTGCCACCAGCCATGTATGACCCACTTAGTTTGTCATTCTCTTGTTAGTAAGGGGGGGAAAGTGGTGATGATATCCTCCTGCCCCACATTGACCCCACCCCTTCCCAACTGGCTGTTTCAGAAACTCTAGCTATGTGCCCACCTACTTAACAAGTGCCAGTGACAAGAAAAAAACATGGGTAACATTCCTGAGTGTTTAATACAAGATAGGGTAAAGCAGGGGTTGCTGTCTCTGCAGGTTCACACATTATGCTGATAAGTACACTTCTGCATTTCACTACTTGATCTAAAATTATGTGTTCTCACAGTATCAGTATAGCAAGCTTATTGTTCATTGAGTTTCTATAAGATTCCTCACAACTCTGAAATAAAACAAAATAAATGGTTATTTGAACTACCTAGGGAAGAGATGATACTGTTCTATATAAACAAATTAAGGCATGCTACATTATTCCACCCATTGTTTTGTCTCACACATTTTTCTCTTTTTTAATGATAGTTTGTATTTATTGAGTATTTTCTGTCTACCAGAAACATATATAAATATATAATGGATTGTCTCATTTAATATTCACAATAATCATATAAGAGATGAA